TTTTTTCGATAGATAGTACCTCACCCACGATAGAGTAAGCAATTTGAAGGTAGCGGCGATCCGTATGTGCCCATGCCGGCGGAGAAAGACGATCCAGGCAAATGAAAGCAGGAATCGAGAAAGACGACTCATTCTTACTTGCAATGGAAGTCTAATATAGGAAGAGATCTGTGAGCGTCTGCCGCATCTCCATCTTATGCTCCAATCCGGGATCTTCCTCTAGGTCGAGAAGATGCTCCGCGATCCATCTCTCCAGTTAAAGATGATGATGACAAGGCCATCCCTGTGGACGAATCTGAACACTTAGATGGGGATGCCAAAGCAGTGGTCCGATGATGTGAGAGACCTCAAGAAGGTGAAGGTGCCACCAATGGATATATAGCTGGTAGTCTCTCTTAAATAGAATACATGCCCTTTCAAAGTACGAATTCGGGGTTTATTTATCAACGTTGCGTCACCTTGATCCCTCGACAACCTCGCAAGTAACTTTTCCCGAAAGAGCTATGGCGGGGCAGTGCTTGGAGAACTTAGTCGAAGCATCTTCGCCACGCGGGTATGGGCATATCATAATCTAATTGGATAAACTCTCATGTGTGAAATAGAATTTAAGTTATAGAGAACTTAAGAAGTAGTAGAAAGCGCCCAACCAAGAGGTGATGACGCTGATGTGAGAGATGTTGTGGTAGATAGGTAATTTGGTTTTTATAACCAACATTATATACGATGAATGAGATTCCAATGAGAGAGTCGAGAGCCAAAGAAGACCTTCGACTTGTCTTGTCAGGATTATGGAACTGGCCTAAAATTTTAGCATAGTCTTTCAAGATCTTAAGAATCTCCTTGGCATTAGAGATAGATGCCGCACAGAAAAGCAGAATGTCATCAGCATACAATAAGTAGGACGGGAAAGGCAAACCCCGGACCGATACAAATGCAAAGAACCCGCCGAGCTTAAAGGTCAATATATCGGCACTTCCCCTGCAACACAAAATAACAACAGAGAGAAAGGGTCTCCTTGTCGAACTCCTCGCGAACAGGTTAAATAGCCCGCTGGAGAACCATTAATAAGAATCGACATATGTATTAGCTGAATGGAAAATCAAATAACACTGATCCAGTCGAAGAAAACCTGCTTCAGAGCGAGTACTTCGCCTATCCTATCTTACGGCCGGCCCCCTTGGAATGGAAGGCGCTAGCTTTCTATAATTCTAAAAGCAAAGCAAATAGACCACTCCCTCTTTTCTAGGGCTGGAAAGATTTACTCTATTTTTAGGTATGACGGAAAGACATTTGACAACCGTACCTTCTGTGGTTACGAGTCGGGGTACAGTAGTGATTCGCTATTCTAGGATGACTTCAAAGGCATCTAGTCCTCAAAAGAGGAAGGGAAGCAAACCACCATCTCAAGAGGGGTTGGGGCAAGGGGTGATCGATCGTCTAGCGGAGCTACACAGCAAGCCACTATATGCGCTACTCCGAATTATTCTTCTGAGACTTCCGCCTCTTTTCCCAGCTATCCCTCTTTCCCTAGTGTCGCAGTCTCGTAGATTCTCTTTATTGTGACTTATTGTGTTGGAAAGTCTCTTCTTCTTTCTTGCCTACGGGCCAAATACCCGTGAGGAGCCTTGTCGAAGCAGGAAAAATATCTTTTTATCTTCCGAAAGGAGGCTAAAACAGCCAAAGCAATATGTTCAGAAACCGTCATTAGATCCTAACATTGTTATGAGAAATGTTCCAGATGGGCTAATCTCTGCCGAATCTGTGCAATAAAGGGAAGAATAAGTCACCACCATAAAGTATGGATCATAATAGTCACTGAACGAAAGAGGTGTTACCTTATTATACGCCATTTCATAAATAGAGTTTCAAACTGGGGTTAAACAGGATCAAAATAGTGGCACTAATCAATGATATAAAGAGCACTCCCTTCCAATCCTAATTATTTCTTCCCCCAAAACCCTATACCCAGACAGAAGGAATGCATGGGCAGGAAGGAACTACGTGCGGGCAAAAAAAGAATCCAAAACCGGCACTCCTTCTCGGGCGGAAATGGACAGATTGAAGCTTCTTTTCTTTTTGCCGGAGGGCCACGCGAGAAAAGCGGGATTTGAAGCCAATTGAAGCTCGAGACCTAAGATAAGGCAAGCGCCTGGTGAATGCGACTGATATTTTCCTGCGCCTGCCTATTATTAAAAAAAGGAAAGCACTTGAACCGGCCAAAGGAGGACTCATTCAAGACAACTTCATAGGTGTTAAAGACTAGCTTGATGACAATACCTCTTTCTCAGTGGGCTTTTAGTCTCAAAAGGCTTCATTCTTCGTTTGCTGTTGTGATTACCCATCATCATACCGAGATGAACTAGTGTTAGGACAAGAGGTGGTAGACCTCGTCATACATTGATATTTGCACATTTAAAGACGAGGAATAGCGAGTCGATAATGCTTGAAAATAGGCAGATTTTATGATTGCATAAGATAGCGAAAATATGTTATATAGAGGGAAGCGGTGCCATCAAATCGTGAGTAATGGCAGTGAAACCAAAAAGGTAAGGTCTTGCAGAGCCTTAATTGGAATCATAGGGTGGGCGGTCTGCGCGTATCGGGATATGGTATGGATTCTCATTCCTTTCTGGAAGCCTAGGCATAGACTAGGAGGGGTCCGACTCACTTTGTTACATACGTTCTTTCTTCTTTTCAGAAGGTCTAGAGTAGGGAATCGAAAGATAATATTTCTGAATTGATGAGAGAAGAGGGCGCTAGTTCAGATAGAGAATAAGAGCTAGCTTGCCTATTTCCAACAGTTAGACAAATGGTTGGAATTCAGATGGTTCCTTTGGGATCTCGTCAATTCATTTCTTTGTTCGCCTAGCAGTCTTTGCTTCCAGTACACCTTGAATTCTCTTTTGTATCGCATCTTTTCCTCGGACGGCAGTACACTCTGAGCGTGCATCCTATCTATGTGCATTCACCCTCTCCTAACAGGATAAAAAAAGATCCAAGCTATCTACCCTATTAACCCAATACTGACTAGTTGAACTCAACCCTTAGCTCTCACTTTAAGCATTGAATGAATCCATATGGCCTAGTTCAATGATTGAGAACAAGTCGCAGGAGAAGCATTGAAGAAGCAGTAGTTTAAGCCATTGATCCTGCAGCTTAGCTTCTAAAAAAAAAAAGAAGCACCAGCAGACAGAGGTAGATACAAAGCCATAGGCAAACCTTCATGATCAATAGCCTTTTATGAAAATGACCCTCGTGCTCGAGAGGCGTATCCAAAGGCAGTCGCTTACCTAGGAGCATACTTCGGTGTAGCATAGCGGCATACCCCTTTGACCTAGGTGGAAAAGAGATCTATTGAAACCCACCATAAGTCGGAGACAGCTGCGGATACTTATTTACCATAAGCAAAAGCGGCTACTGAGGCGAAGGCAAATAAGGTTCCGTTCCATGGAAGGAAAAATAAATGGAAATAAAAATAATAAAAGGTCTGATCAAATCTTTTGCTTTCTTGTTGTCTTGAATTGTTATAGAACGGCTATTTATATAAGGTCTAGTTGGTAGGATGAAGTGGGATGTGAAGCCTTAGTGGATATAGCAAGTGTGTCGGGGATGCGGCTCGGGCGTAGTAGGTCTGGACGCCTAGCATGAAACAGCCTTCTCTGGTAGCGGCACTATACCTTAGTATAGTCTCTCTCTAGCTTCCAGTCTATATAAAAAAACTTAGTTAGCAGAGGCCAGTCTGTCTGGGGTTCCCTCGCGTAAAGGGCTACTTTGGCATCGGCTCTCTCTCGTTAGGTAATTACCGAGGCGAAAGCAGCTCTCTCGAAAGTTAGTTTCCCCGCTATCTTAGTGGGACTAGTCTAATAAACTTTCACTTCAACTGCCTTACTCTAACAAGTAAGCAAGTAAACTACCAAGACTCAGATTTTTTTTGTGGTAACGCCCTTCTAGAATTACGTTTAACGTCCCTTTATTACTTTCCCGATCAGCGCCTCGGGTCGGTAGCCGGGCTCTGGGACATTACTACCACAGCTACTATCGACCCGAGCCCAAAGAAGGAAAAGAACGGACTAAAGCGAGGAGTTCATTGGCCATACATAGTGAAGGGGGATGGGGGTCAACCTCTTTCATGACCCATGGCCCCAGTGTGTAACTTGGTTAGCATTTCTAGAACCAATTTAGTAGGGTTGGTTTTTCGATAGGGGATCAGGGGAGTTAGTTGGCTGTAGTTGAGACACGTTTTTCAGGTGGACGATATGGATTTCTTCGAGATGGTTAACCACTTTTTTCACCATGAGAGGGAGGTCATTCAGAACCCGCAGGCTCCAGTCCAGAACCGATGGAAGTTCCCCACGCCGATCCCCCTGAGGGACTTCGAAGTGCTATTCATTGATTCTTGAGCAAGTTCGGGAATATTGTGAGAAGGGGAAAGGGCGGCTTTCCGTTCACTTTCCGGAAACGGAATAAATCTATTCCAGTGTCGCAGAGAACATTATGTCTCGCGATATGAAAATATATGCGGAGATTTATATTGAAACCCTCCGCGGATGGGTGGAGGAGATAAAGGAGAACCCTAATCCCCTAAAATACCTCATTAGGGAACACCTGTAAGATGAGTCTACCGCTTTCTTTCATAACAGAGCCGTCAACTGGCATAGAAGTCTCTCGCACGCAAGGAGATGCATTTCTAGTACAGGTAGTACTGGACAAGCTCTTAGGGAATAATATCTTTCTTATTTCTTCCTTTTTTCCCATGACGACCAGGAACGGGCAAATAAAAAATTTCACTTCGAATTTCGGACCTCAACATCCTGCTGCTCATGGTGTTTCACGATCAGTATTGGAAATGAACGGAGAAGTGGTGGAACATGCAGAACCACATATTGGATCACTCCAGTGCGGCACGAAGCCGCTGACACCGAGTCGGCTCCTATGCCGCTAGCTATACCCTGCTTGGTCCCCCGACACGGTGGAGGTCTCGTAGCGCGTCATGAGCATCGGGCTAAGGGGCGGTTGAGCAACTCAAGCAAACCGCCCTACCTTACTACAACATAAGGACAGAAGGGAGAAGGTTGTGAAGGTGGCCTCGTTATCCACACCTCCGGTCAGATGAATGGAGGACCGACCGACCCGGGTTTTAATGAGCGTTGGCGGGTCCTGGAGTTCCTGTCAAGGGCGCTAGCGCATACCCCGGGGTGATCATCACCACCTGCACCTCACATCTCGGCACAACAGAACGTGTAACCCGCCTGCTGTCTCATTCAACTACATTTGTTCCTGTAATCCATAGCCTAACAGAACGCAGCAGCGAGGGACAACCCGCCCATACAGCCAGCGGGGAGGATGGCACTACTGGCAAAGACCGTCCGGCGAAAACGCTGTAGGCGCGAAGCGTGGTAGGCCTGTGCCGGGGGAGCATAACATAGGTAGGAAAGGGAGCCAGAACGGTGGAAGAGCCTGGGGGGCCGGGTCATTTGACGGAAATGGAAGGCTTTTCCCCTATTAGAGAAGGCCCTCTGAAGTCAAGGGGAAGTGCATTAATTCTTGGAAAAAGAGGGAGCAAGCCTATCAAACAAAAAAATGAATGAAAGTAAATTCAATGAATAGATAGAGTCAACGGTACGACAGACAGCGCAGCCTACACGCGAATTAGCTTCCGAGGTCGAGCAGTCTCAATTTCACTACAGGGTTTGCGAATGAATGCTGGGCTGGGCCACCTCGAATGGCGTGAGCCGCATGCGGGGAGACCCGCACGTACGGTTTTTAGGGGGATCTGGTCGAAAGACCGGCCAACGCCCACCCGACTAGAGGGACTGAGAAATTAATAGAGTACAAAACTTATCTTCAAGCTTTACCTTATTCTGATCGTTTAGAGGGCGATCGCAGAGTCACTGAATGGAGTCCTCTGTTTCTTTCGGAGGTGCTGACCCGCAGCGAGGCAGAGATGACTAAGTGACATATTGAATATGGCGACGACAACAGCATGTCATAGAAGGAGATAACAGGTGGAGCCAACGATCCGCTAAGACTAACGTATCTACAACTCCATCCCCGAGCGGCAGTCAAACGGAGGCGTGAATGCAAGATGCCAGCGGAATGATCGGCCGGACAGAGGCTAGGGATGCTTCCTTCCCACCGCGTCCTTCCTTGTGTGTCGGAGATATAAAGCGAGTGCACCGGAAAAGAACAGGAACTGGGTCGATCTATTCTATGGCGAAGCATCCGAAGCATAACTGCACACTCACACGATCTTTGCCGATAGATAGGAGCATTCGGTGGAACCGGTGAACTACACTTGCTTCTGGATAGATGTGTTGGACAGAGGGCCCGTGGTACCTGCTGCCCACCTTTCCTACTCTGCTTTGAGAACCGTGTGAACAGAGAGTGGGCAGAAGGGAAGGAGGTCCTCATACGGAGTCGCACACTTACTTGAGCAGTGCGGAAGACTGGGGAATGGGTTGAGTAAACTCCCCAGGGGATGGGAAAATAACAGACGAAGCTTTACTTAGATAGGGCTTTGATTGGTTTTTTTTCTTAGTGATTGCCGGAACCTGAGGATGACCATTTATATAGGGCCATTGATGCTATCAATATGGCCTGTAAAAACAGCCATGATAGACAGAGCCCACATTCTCTTGCAGAAGAAGGAAGGGGATCATTCTCGAGGAACCAAAGGATGTGAAGCATGCGCTCGAGGTGGCTCTCCATGACGACTGGGAGCACGACATCGATGAGCGTCTTGAGCATTTCCGTGTGCTCAATCGCAACTTTGGCACCGCTCGCTGTTCCATTTGGAATAACTTCATTGACTAACTAAGGGAGTTAGGCTATCACCAGGATAACTCCCGACATAAGGTCGACTAATATTTTTCATCTCCATTTTTTGTATTCGGGGAATGGATTGTTACTAAAAGGACTTGAATAGAATGAGGAGGACGACAGATAGACTCACGATCTTATAAAGTAAAGTCTTTGATATTGGTTCGAATCCAATTCGTGAGATGACAGTGATCTTTAGCTGATCATGCCCATAATAAAGGTTGTTCCAGCCGAAAGATGATCCCAGACCTGTCTGACCTACCGTTAGCTTTGCAGTACTCCCACCCAGGTAAGGACGGACAGGTGGCATAGCGCAATCCTCACCGATGTGGTGTCCAGTCACAACCCTCATTTTCCACTTTATTTCCCTGGCTTTCGAACCGTTGATTGATAGCAATGAGACAAAGAGAGAGAGAGAAAGATTCCAAGTAACTTTCCTTATTCAAAGGAAGAAGAAGAGCGGATGGATTTTTCTTCTATATAAAATGAAAAAAAACAACCGAATTTTGACTTACCTTAGTCTAAAGTCAAGAACGAATTGCCATGACGCTCCAATCCTATCGGTTGACAGTGGAGTTGTGTTGATGGGCAATGATCACCCCTGCAATGTAGTTGGTATTGGTTCGGTCAAAATGCACAACGGTGTGGTGAGAACTGAGGTGCGGCATGTTCCAGACATGTCAAAGAATCTTATCTCTTTGACCACTTTAGATCTCTCTTGGTGGTTGTAAATTTGTTTTAGGTGATGGTGTTTTGAAGGTTGTGAAAGGTGCTCTAATTATGATGAAGGCTCATCAGATTGGTAGATTGTATGTGTTGCAAGGGTCTACCGTTACAGGCACAACTGCTGTATCTTCCTCCATGTCAGATTCAGATGAAACCAGATTATGGCACATGAGGCTGGGACACATGAGTGAGAAAGGCCTGACAATGTTGAGCAAGAGAGGTCTTCTTTCTGGTCAGAGTACATCCAAGTTGGATTTCTGTGATTTCAATAAGTTCTGCAAAGATGAAGGCATTGTTAGATATCTTACAGTCAAGAGGTACTCCGAAACAGAATGATTTGATATAGAGCACTAACACCGTCAATACATGGTGAATCTCATTGTGCATCTACTGGAGCTCATCGAAAGTCTATCTCCAATTGAATCAATATCTCGTTTTCCCTTTGCTGCCACGGAGAGCGATGTTCCGCCTCTTTCTTAAACTCTCGTTCCAGCAGCTTTGAGTTCAACTGCCTGTCCCCCAGTTAAAGAGGTGAAGGAGTGGAAAGGGGCAAGGCCAATGAACCAGCATCTAATTGAATGGATTCTTGATAACCTGCCTTAGAGAATTATGTCTGATCTTCTTACCCCGAAAGGGCGATCTAGTTTTTTTACTTTCAGTCCTTGAATGAATCAGTAACAACGAATTCGTGGAATGAGGGATCAAGAATCGGATAGGGAGGGGAATGGCCTTTCCATTATTGGTGGACCATCCCTTGAATTGAACCGGTCACAGAGCTCTCCATTGAGTTGTTTAGGTTCTGGAATTCCATCTCTAGTTGGGGGTTTAAGTTCGAAGGTTATCAAATGTGGTGCGGGTTCATCTCTCTCGACCAGTTCAGGTTCAAGGGAAGGGTTATCGAGGGGACCCAGACTTTAGATCTCTTTCTTCTCTATTATATGGCGGGAGGTTTCTTTCGTATCAAGAGTGTGTTGGGGAGGCCTGGGAAAGACGGATTGGATCGAGAGGCGATGCCTACTCTACTCGTTACCACTAAACGACGAAGCCAAGAGTGGAAGGAGGGACTTGAACCCTCAACCTCAGCCTTGGAAAGGCTATGCTCTACCATTAAGCTATTTCCGCCAGCTACGGTAGTGGCGAAGCACTACTGAGCAATTAACGTATCACTTGATACGGACGACTTCTGTTTTTCCGCCGGACCAAACTCTTAACCTCCGATCGAGATACGAGCACGAGTAGGTAGGCGGCTAGGGGGGGGGGGGGGGGGGGAGGGGCGGCTGCCTTTTCAATAAATCTCCGGCCGCTCAGTGCCGGCCGCTATTGGTGCGAGTTGTAAGGAAGGAGTCTTGGTCTCGAGTCGAGCTAGGGCGTCATTTCATTCTCGTAACGGGAGTGAGTGCACCGCAAGATAAGACAAGTGACTCCCTCGCAGCGGTGGCATCTGTCTTTTCAGTTCAGTCATTTCCTAAGACGGCTCCTCTTATTATACGATAATCCAAGCAGATCCGGGAGTTGAAACATGAGTGTTTGTCTCTTTTTCAACTTCAACAGGAATGCATCAACAAAACAGCCCTTCCATATAGATCGTCGTGGCATGAACTTTGTCAAAAAAATTAATTTATAGCTAACTCCTCTTCCTATTGATCTTGATTAGTTCCAGCTTGTTGAGAGTTATCTTTTCTTTCTAGACCGGACCCTTAGACCGTCTCCTGAAAGACCTGCTTATCCCGCATGTGCTTTCGGAGCCCCCCATCATTCAATCACTTGCTTGTGATTGCTTGCAGCCATTCCCCGAAAAAGGGAGAGACGAGGGAATCGTCTGCTCCCGTTCATGTGACGAATCGAACATCGTTAGGTCCCGAATTCTGCGAACCACCGGACCTAGACCAAGATCTCCATTACGTCGTACAATATATTAATTCGAAGAACTGACTTTCAGTTGTAAGTCATCCGTTCTTCTCTTATCTAAAGCGATGCTAGGCTGCTTCACGCAGGTGCGCTTCGCTCAGCCACATGATTAACATGTTTTAAGCTAACTGCATGTCGAGCGCTTAAGCGGAGCTTGTGATCACTCGTTCCTCGCTTGTTCCAATCCTAGTAAAGAGCTTAAGATTTGATTCTACACTACATACGATATTCCATTCCGGCCCTCACTAGCTCTTCGCTTGGTTGTACAAAGAGCATGCCCGAGGGGGTTACTACGCTCACCGCACACTTGCATCACCACCTGAGCTTCGCTACCGCTTCGCCCAACTCCTACGCCTACCACGAATCTTTAATCATCACGTGGCTGCTAAAGCAAGCTAAGCTTCACACGACCCCGAGGAAGCCAAAAGACCCTCTCACGGCCGAAGGCTCCGCAACACGTTGGAGAACTTTTAGATCCCGCCCTAAAACGCCCATTTTCCTAGAGTTCCGAAGTGATCCTCATTCTCACCGCAACCTTCTTACTTAAGCCGAAAGAAAGCCGGGCAATAATCGGGTAGTACGAAGGGGAAGCAGAATCGTATCTGGCAGTGGTTCTTCGGATCGATCACAGATTCTCGGCCCCGTCGTTTGGCTTCCACTCCAGTTGACCTCTATTGTTCTCCCCCCCCCCCTTACACAACCGGGTGGAGGACTCATGTAAACTTTTTCCTGTAGGTCCCCGTTCAGGAAGGCATTTTTAACATATAATTGGAACAGAGGCCAATCTCGATTCGCATCAATAGAGAGCAGGAGACGAATAGACTTCATCTTGGCTACCAGGGCAAAGGCTTCCTCGTAATCTATCCCATATGTTTGAGTAAAGCCTTGGCTAGCCTGACCTTTTCCTCCTTTCTCCCACAAAGCTTCCCTTCACAACCAGTCCCATATCAAATTAGTAGAATTCGAGATGCGGAGAGTCAAAATGATACAAATGCGCATTTCCTCTCTGAATCGATAGGTATCAGATCGAAGTCACATAAGTAATGTTTTATAAAAAAAGTTATTTCCGGGAGACAAAGTGGATTTATGAGCAAATTTTGGCATGATAGGACCAATGAGACAGAACACTGTTGGATGCATTCCTTCACTAGCAGGGCTTCGACCTCATCATGAAAGAGCATACGGTTGGTTGAAGCGCAAGATTGGCAGTATCCTCGAATTCCCGGAAACAAAGCTATCCATTTCGAGCAACTATTAGTGCAAACCACTTGAATACGAATGAGATCCATAATTACACCATTTCATATATAATAGTTTAATGAGAAAAGAAAGAAGAGAAATTTACTCCTCGCCCTGCTCAATTACTACTGGGATAACAGGAATAAGACGCCGGGGGGAATTAGTCACTAGTAGGTTGTACGTATTGCACTTAGTTCTCTCTTGTTACCATCTTAGACTCCGAGTTCTTCTAACTGATTACAAGTATATCTAACCCTAAAGTAAATTCAATGAAAAAAAAGAATCAAAGTAAATTCAATGAATAGATAGAGTCAACGGTACGACAGACAGCGCAGCCTACACGCGAATTAGCTTCCGAGGTTGACCAGTCTCAATTTCACTACAGGATTTGCGAATGAATGCTGGGCTGGGCCACCTCGAATGGCGTGAGCCGCATGCGGGGCCACTTAGAATAAAAATACAAAAATATTACATTTTTATTTTTATTATTATTTATACTAAAAATACCATTTTTTAAGTATATTTCATTTTTACACATATTAATATATTTTTTTGTATATAAATAATGTATAGTACTTATTTTTAAAGAAATTAGGGTTTACCCTTATAACAATTAAATAAATATTTTATTTATTTCTTTATACTTTTTTTTACATTAAAAATACTTTTACATACATAGGTGAACAAAATTCTTTTTTTTTTGCATAATACATATTATTTAATATTTATTTATTTTGTTTATTTAAATATTGTACATTTAAATATTTATGCATTGTGATTCAATTTGGATGTAATAGTAATCTAGGGTTTATGTTTCTTGTCAAATACCCCCCATTCAAAATTATACCCCCATCCCCATAATCATGTTGTAATAACTTAGAACTTTAAATTCTCGCACTTTACGCTTTCAATTATGCCATGATTAGAGAATTAGGGTTTGTATGCAAAAATCCAAATTAACAAATAGCTTGACCTAATCAAAGACAAAAATGCATGAAAATCAAACACAATGCACACTTGCGCCCCTAGGGTTACAATCCACTTGTTTCCTTCAAAAATGGGCCATGGTATGCATGTTGGGTACTTTGGCAAAACAAAACAAAACAAAAGATCATAGTCCCTCGATGACGCTATCTTGGTTGCCTAAACAAAAATGATCAAGTCCCTCAAGAAAATTGCCAAAGATACTTAACACAATTGGTATCATGGTCTATACGATGACCCGCGCCTGTCCCGTTTAACATCCTAACACAAGGTTGTTCACCAAATGCAATGGTGAAACAACACTGTCAAAAGGGTTAAAAACATAAGAAAAATCTTTGAGTAAAATAGGGTAGATAGCTCTTAGTTACTTGATCAAAAAGCTTGCAAAAAACATCCTTGCTATTTTCAAACACACTTCACAACACAATTTCAAAACAAGACTTTCAAAACATTGAAATCTTTTCAAAAGACAAAAACCCCTTTGTATACATTCAAACAAGAATCATTACAAAGGTTTTCACAACGATGGCCTCTTTTCAAAACATCTTTCAAAACCACACAAAAGCACCATTTCAAACAATTGAAAAGCAAAGCAAGTGATCTAAACAAGTAACTAAGAGCCCATGGATAACCATGGATGAAAAGGGTGCTTGCACCTTCCCTTTTCATAATCTACTCCCCGAACCCAAGAAAACATCTCAAAGGTCTTTCTTGTGCTTTTTGACCTTTCCTTAGAATAAAATAAAAAGTCAGTGGTGACTCTTGCTAAACCAAAACATTTGCGAACACAAACTCAAAACCTCAAGTCAGTTCTCCCACCGTATCACAGGGGTGAAGGAATTATGTTGAACATTTCACTTTCTCTCTCCTTCTATACCTCCTCTGTTCGCAAGCTGCTCCATCACGGTTTCCATCGTCGTAGGTTTTCTAGTGTTCGTTTGTCTCCAAGTAAGTGATTTTCTTCAAGCTTTTTTAGTTTACTTTAGGGTTTTAGTTGATTGGATGAAGTTTTCTGTTGAATTCATGAGTTATGGGTGAAGTTTTATGAATCCTCATGAAGTTTCCGATGAAGTTCATGAAAATTCATGACACTTTCGGTGAATTTCATGAAGATTCATGACACTTTCAATGAAGTTCATGGACTCTGGACAAAGATCCATGAGTTTTGTATGAAGGTTCCTGAGTTTGGATGAACTTCATGTGGATCTATGTCAGATATTGACCCCTCGTGAATTGGGTAGATACGGGAAAAATGGCTCCATGTTAGGGATTAACCCCTCGTGAACTAGGTAGATACATGCGAGCCTCCTCTCCTTGTGATCTTATGCTATCTTTATGGGGTTGCTTCCTTCGTGGGTTTCAAGGGCTTGAGTTAAGGACCTCCCCTCAAAGTTTTCCTCTCCCTTTTACTTGATTTACGGTGGAAGGGTGGATTTGATGATGTCGAGTTCATTGTTTTCCCTACTTTTCAGGTTAAATGGCTCAACCGGTCGAGGAAGTGAATTTTCCGGATTCTCAGGGTGAAGAAAATGCCAATGCGGGCAACAATTTGGACTGGATTGAGCCCGAGCCCAAAAATATGATGTCTGAATTCGTCCATGATGCTTCAGGTGCCTTCAATGTTGTCCAGGACAGAGTTGAGGGTGCTCCCGCCTCTTGGTCAATTCTCATTTCGTACAAGAGTCAGAGGATATGTTCGGCCTACCCGAGCAAGCGCTTTCTAATGTACGAGTTCACTTTCAAGGGATGCTCCCTCCCTTTACAGCCTTCCAAGTTAGAGTTTTTAGATGGTTGCACTTGGCGCCTTCTGAGCTTCAGTCGAACGCACTCGCGTTCATGCAGGCATTCGATATCGCATGCCTATTAATGCTTCTTTACCTCTATTATTTCTAATCTTCCACCTCCAGCGGAAAACGGTTGGGGGTCTCCAGGTCTGGGTGTCATTCAAGCAGCATGGAAAGATGTTTCGACCGTATCCGGAGTCCATCCAGAATTTCAAGGAAAGGTGTTACATCGTGAAGCCACTGTGATACACGGTCGTGGACTCACTGTACGATGTACCATTTAGATCAAGGATGGTCGGAAGGTGACCAAGTTTTAGACGAGATTACATTTTGAGTGGCAGTGGACACATTATGAGCAGAAGCCAGAAAGTTATTTGGTAAAGCCTAAGAAGCTGGGTGTTTATGATAGGCTTGTCTATCTAAATTGGCGGCCTACATAAAAAGCTTCTCCCCGGCCAAATGCGTGGACTTGGACAATAACTTTATTTTCGATGATGAGGGGGAGCACATGGTTGTTACCCGCCTAATAAATATAAAGATGCTCCTCGAGTGCTCATCCCCCGAGGAGTCCTTAGAGCTCTTAGGTAGGGGACGTGCCTGTATTAGATTTTTATTTGTTTTATTTTGTAGACTAAATTTTTCCCTTTTGGGATTGTAGGTCGAATGGCCACTTTCGAGGAACGTCTGCTCAAGATAAGGGGCAAAGTTGGCCAAAAAGAGCCTAAAGGGTGTGCTACCCAGATCCAGGAACAAGCTAAATTTGGTTCCCAAGTCGGTGGTTCCTCTCCCCTCAAGGTGGCCAAGTTTCTCCCCCTGAATAACTCGCGAAAAGGAAGCTTCGGGAGAGTAGAGACCGTATGTCCACTAAATATAAAGGCAAGAGCGTTAGGGAGACATTTGTTTTCCCCCTTGTTATCTCCATCGTGACATCTTTAGCGGGGACGATGCCCTAGGTCTCCATGAAGGGGAGCAGGAATCCATCATGTTTGCGGGCAAGGAGGTCCGAAGCAAGAATCTGTCTGAGGACGTGGCTTTCATGATGAGGGTTCTTGAAACAACTTCAATCCTTAATGACGCAGAGACGTGCTCGAAGGAGGAGCTCGACAAATCATATGGACGAATTTACAGGTGGAAGCTTCAGAACGAAAAACTAAAGAATGATATTATCAATCATGAGGTGAAGTATGAGCCCCAGGTGAAACTCCTCAAGGATTTGAATGAGTTGAGGACAAAGATGGAGGAGCTGTAAGAGGAGAATGAGAGGCTTGCTTCCCGAGTAAAAGAGTTGAAGGGGATTGTGGAGCCTGCCAAGGAGGAGACTAACACAGAGATAACCCTTCAAATGAGGAAATAGTTGATCGACCAGATCCACGTGTTTGAGCAAGATGTCGTGGATACCCTCAACTATGTCTTTAACACCATCGTTGCTCAACTCAAAATCATCAACAATGGGGTTCAGCTCGTGACCAGGGGGACTAGGCCTTTCAATAAAGTGGTTGACGGGAAGATAATTTATGCCCCAGGCGATGAAACTGGATTG